TCCCTAAATTGGTATATGAAACGTTATTAGTTGTGGTTTTACCATTTAATGTTATTAAGAATAATAAAAATGTTACCATTTGTGTGTTTGTATGCATCCCATCTTAGTTTTAGGGTTTTGGAAACCCTATGGGTGTATAAAGCAGCTTGAAATAGAAAACGATTGTTCTACGACTTTTGGAAAAAACCGCTAGTTGAGCGGAAAATCAAAAAAAAAGGCCAGATTTAAAATCTAAACAACTAATGCTACAGAAACGTGCTATATAGCTCTGAAAAGATAATTTCATTTGCTAAATAATCTTCATATAGTAAAATTGTCTGAGTATAATAGATTAAGAGTTATGACAAAAAGTTATTTTTTAAAACCACTTTTCGACTATTTTCTCAAAATTGAGTCGAACGATATCTTTTTTATTTATAAATCATTTAGCCCTTGAGATTCCTCAACTATTGAATATTTCATACTTATTGGAATAAACAAGAAAAAAACCAATTTGATGAAAAAATTCGTATTAGATTTTTTCAAAAGGTAAATCTGTTATGGTTTTAGGGTCCTTTACTTGCATGAAGCTAATCGAAATAGGAAACATGATATATTTGTTCTACCACTTTTGAAAATCCCTCTAGTTCGGCGGGAAATGTAAGAAACGACAGATTTCTCTTGGAATCTGAAACTATTCAGTTCTTGATATTCCCATAGTGAACCCTCCTCGAGGGTACCGACTGGTAATGAAGCTACAGTGCCTAATTTAAGGTGGCGTTCAGCTAAGATTAGGGGTCGAATCTGTGTGTTTAATTTTTCAATAGCCAAGCCATATGGGGACGACTCCTAGTCATGGTATTGGGATACTTAAGCTCTTGTGCAAAAAAAAACTTCTGTTATCAAACAAAAACACCTCTTAACGAGGTAAAAAGTAGTGGTGAAAGCGCTCCTAACAAAAATTTCTGATATCAACAATTGTGACGAAAAATGATATTACATTCGATAAAATAAATAAACTATATTAAATTTATGTATTCGGCACGCTACAGCAGAAAATTTACGTGTAGGTAAATAAATATTTACTGTTGCGGGCCGAAATTATAAATTTAATATAGTTTATTTATTTTATCGAATGTAACATCATTTTTCGTCACAATTGTTGATATCAGACATTTTTGTTAAGAGCGCTTTCGCCACTACTTGTATATGGTGTCTGGTTCCGCAACACTTATGTTTCTGGCAGCGCCAAGAAAGATAGAGCAATTCTTAAAACAGGCAAAAACATTTTTAATAAAGCGTATTATGTACATAAGTGCGTACTTTGTTTGTATGAAATGTTTAAGGACATAATCTCACACGATTAAATATTTCCATTTGGTATCCTTAATGCAAAGAGAAAAAGTTGAAAAAAAATTGTGTTAGACGGCACGCTATGGCTTTTATGCTTTTAAGCATCTTGTATATTCGGCTAGATGTCGTACGCTTGATTTTTAACTTTGAAAGTTGGTTTGTAATAGTCTAAACCATAAGGTAACATTCTATAATATTTATATGTGAATTGCTTTATGCAAGCATAGCCATTGATCTTCAAAATTATAAAATACAACAGCTGTTTCAATGTGAATACCAGAAAATTCCATTAGGTCTCCTGTACACCTAATATTAAAAGTGGAGACAAAAAATCGATTGCTCGCGGACCGAACACGATCCTTTGCGGTTTAAAGACGAAAGCTCTACGGACTAGGCTGCTTCGAATTGATTTAACTAATGAAATAAGCTTCTCTTTATTTTCCTTAATCGATCATATCAAAAAAGTTGACAAATTAAGAGAGTAAGCAGAAACATTTTTGAGCTTTAAAATAAAAACATTTTGTTTTCGCAATAATTTATTTTGTACAGAAAATAACCATTTCAGATTGTGAGCTCATTTAACCATTAAAAGTCCACCCTAATGTACATATACTAAATCTAAATGTTTGCATTAGTTGTTTAATAAAATTATGTGGTCGAACAGCATTGATTGACAGTGTTATATTTGCCACACAGTTCGGCTTTGTCATTCTCTGCTCTGACGTCATTGCTTTTCTTCTTGGTGGCTTGTGGCCGTTAGAACGTTAGAACAGGCTTTTTTAGGTCAATGTATAGGTATTGATAAAACCAATACAATCTATTAAAATTTTGATTTTAGTTTGGCACTCTGCCGAAAGTTCTGCTTTTAAAGCTTCCGAGATATCAGCGTCCATACGGATGGTTTTGGTGGGTTAGTGGGCGGGTCCCTTTTTTCAGCTGAATGGATAGGTAGGAAGGCTTCTAGCATCAAAACTGTGTGCTCCACAGATGGGATTGTTATCGTTGTTTGGTTGGTTTTATAGTTTTAATTATTTTTTTGCGTTTTGAATTTGTTTTGCTTTAATAGTGTTCTTGATGTTTATGAATTTTATTTTTCAGTCCACCATGTAATCAACTTAATGTTTTTTTTAAAGGATTATTTTATTAATGGATTTCTACTTAAAATTTTACACGATCACAGTAACTTTGTGTTGTGTCGTTGGTGGGTGCTAAAATTTGTTCACAAATTTCAGTCCTTGGCTGCGCGAGCTCCGTTTTTAAATTAAATTTTATTTTTCATTAAATTGTTATTTTTAGAACTTTTGGTGACGCAATTTTATTCCATGTCGTTGATTTAAAATAAAATAGTACTTTTATTTCTTAAATTTTATTTTATTGATGATTGGCCCAAATTCACAAGTTCACTAATACATCAAAACACTATAACTTTTTATTATTAGGTATCACCGATCGCGGCTTCAATCTGAAATAGACTGACTTCTTAAGTCTAAAACGGACCTCGCCCAGAAGCTTTTCTTTCTTAAGCTTCAGTACTTTAATAAACGCTTATGCTGAAAGAGTCGCATCTCATTGTGAAATGAAATTATGCTGACTGATCCAATTTGATTGAAATTCGGAACGCAATATGATCTGAACTTAGAACGCAATTCCTTAGGCTTCCAACGTAAGAGTTTGGCCTGGAATGGAAGCTTGTTTTTACTTTACGATTGGTTTATTTATTTTAGCAGGACGGTCAAGCGCGGCCCTCGAAGTTAATGGAAAAGGCAAAGGCAGAATCTTAAACAATGGCAAAGGCAATGTCGCCAAAGGCAATGGCAATACAGCTGAGATTGAATTTAAAAATTTGTTTATTAATTCCAAAAGTGGAGCCGTTTAACGGTTTGGATAACTCTCCCCCTTCTTAAATGGATCATCCCGATTCATTATGAATTTCGTTTAAACGATCTTCTAATTCTGTTAAAAAATGTCTTCGTTAATAGCTTTTTTATGTTCTGGCTCGTTGTTTCTTGGTTACAAAAATATTTTTGTATTTAATAATAGGTAAAGAAATCCAATGTATAATGATTACAATTAATAATATAAAGGATATAGATATTTTGGTACTATTAATTTTAAGGAAAGGATTTAAAATGTGTATATTATCCAAAGATAGTTCCGAGTTATTTAATAATATATAATCGGATATTTCATAATTTTTGAAGTGGTTCGTAGTTATATAGTTAAGAATTTTGTTCTCTAAATTGGTATATGAAACGTTATTAGTTGTGGTTTTACCAATTAATGTTATTAAGAATAAGCCGCTTTACTCGGAGTTTTTGACAATATTGTTACCATTTATTAAAATGGCACCATCTTAGTAGATGGAAAATGCGCCTTCTGGGAATTACCATATTAACGTTATCATATTAATGGTCCCGCCCCCCTCATTAGCATATGCGTGTTCTGACACAATTAGCATAATCCAAGAAATTGATTGATTTTAATGGGCTTTGGAGTCATAACAATGTCACGATCATGTCCATAAAGAGTATACTTAATTGCCCCCATCGCCCCCACATCCCCATGTGACAATATTGATCATGTATATTTGTGTAACCTCTACCTCTACATACCAAATTCCTTTGGGTTATTGGCAATCTCCTCATAAATATCAACACTTTCCTAACGTAAGTCAAAAAGCTTCAGGACATCCGCGTTTATTGACGGTGCGCACAATTACCGAAAATGATATAAAAAACAAGGAAGAACGCTATAGTCGAGTACCTCGACTATCAGATACCCGTTACTTAGCTAAATGGAGATATGCAAGCAGCAAAGCGAGATTAAAATGCGCCACCTACCGGCGGTATACAGATTTAAGCGTTATGGGCGTTAGAGTGGGCGTGGCAAATTTTTTTTTGGATCAATCGATAGGTATCGACGAGACCAATACATTTCAGTTACAATTTTTTATCTAGCATGAAAATTGTGGGCGTCACAGGTTTTTGCGGTTTGTGGGCGTTAAAGTGGGCGTGGCAAACTTTTTTTTGAGTCAATCGATAGGTAATGACGAGACGAATACATTTCAGTTAAAATTTTTTATCTAGCATAAAAATTGTGGGCGTCACAGGTTTTCGCGGTTTGTGGGCGTTAAAGTGGGCGTGGCAAACTTTTTTTTAGGTCAATCGATAGGTATTGATGAGAACATTACATTTCAGTTAAAATTTTTATTCTAGCATGAAAACTGTAGGAGCCACAGTTTTGAGCGGTTTGTGGGCGTTAGAGTGGGCGTGGCACTCTACTGAAACAAACTTGCGCTGCGCAGGAATCTCAGGAATCTGCGTGCCTAATCCCAGTATTGTAACTCTCATAGTTTCCGAGATCTCAGCGTTCATACGGACAGACGGACAGACGGACAGACGGACATGGCTAGATCGACTCGGCTAGTGATCCTGATCAAGAATATATATACTTTATGGGGTCGGAAACGCTTCCTTCTGCCTGTTACATACTTTCCGACGAATCTAGTATACCCTTTTACTCTACGAGTAACGGGTATAAAAACCAAACACCCAACAAATACCCAACTTTTGCCCACCTCTAGTTGCCTATGCTTAAACTTGTTGTCACCTTCCCAGTTGTTTTTTGTTGTTTCTTGGAAAGGTTACGCTTAAATTGTTTAAAAATGAATATTTTATTTGCTTTTAGGAAGTCAAAAACGATCTGCTTTTTTTGTGGGAAGTCGTTATGGACGATCAAGCGCCAGTACTACTTCCGGAACCACTAGCTTCAGCAGCAGACGCCTTATTATTGTTCCCCGTAACGATCAGTTCTTTCTTGGCTCCCGGTACGGAAAACGAAGCAGCGAGTTTCTAGCGCCTTACGAGCAAATCAATTTTAGTCTCGCTCTTAGCAAAAGAACTAGACGAAAAGAAGAGAAACAAATATCTTATTTGAGGATCAGATTTGTACCATTACTTAAGCAATGCATATATGCTGGTATAAAAAACTACTACCACTGTGTCGCGTAAGTTTTCTTTGATATGACTTACACAAATATTAATAATTCGTTCACGTACAACTTTTTAGATCACAGTAATGGTCAGAGCTCTGGATGGTTTGATGGTATCGATTCTTCAAGCAGTGTACTGAGAGATGAAAATATTAAATTAACCTATTTATAGATTATAACGGCTAACGTGAATTATCATTCCGAAATTGATTGCTTAATATTTTGAGTCTGTAATGGCATGCTCCTCTGGCATATTTGAATCTGAAGCAAATATTCCAACATTTCGTTGAAACCAAAAATGATCTAATCAAAAGATAAACAGCTTATGTTAATAAATAAAATAAACATCGTATATTTAATGATCGATGGGATAAAAACAATTTCTGTTTTGATTACAATGAGAGAAGAAAGCTAAGAAATTAATGCTCATTATTTCTATTTGGGTCTGACACAGAGAGTTATACTTGGTTGAATTTTTTATTTGTATTATTTTTTGTGGAAAAATTTATAGGACGCAACTTTTTCACGAATTGGATAGCTGATGGTAGTACACGTAGTGAAGTAGGACGTCTGAACAGTGTGCGATGGCGACTAAACAAGAAAAAACCAGAGAAAACTCTATAGTCGAGTGTCTCGACTTTAAGATACCCGTTACTCAGCTTTTAAATTGAAAATTAATTATAGGTATGTTAAAATGTTAATATGACCGAGAGTTAGTCGTAGACTTATGGGAAAACAGAAAAATGCACAGCGTTGTAAAGTATTTGCCCGTAAATTTAACGTGCGCGGATTTTTTACCTTTTACTGCCTTCTTCTGCTTTGCAACACTGGGTAAACGATCTTTCGTCTCTCTCTTTTAGGCGCATTTTAATGCACTGCAGGTCAGTATGGCAAAAAGAAAGAAGCTCCCCTCCCACATCCACATCATTGTTTATTAGCAATGTCAATGGTCTCTCTTAGCGCCGCCAGCGCTTTTCACTTTAGTTTTTCTGCACATGCTTATTGTTAACAAATTAGACGCCATAAGTGTAACTGATTAAATTGATTTTTATTTGTCTTCACCAAACATTCAATATAATTTAGTACAATCAATCTCGATGCGCTCTGGTTTCGTTGGTAGCAAAAATGTGACTTACTGTAGCTGTATATATTACTACAAGAATAGGCTGAATTAAATGGTAAACACGTTACCGTAAGAGATGAATGGAAAATTACTGACCAAGGCAATGCATTTGGCAAAGCTCTTGCACGTACATACAAATAAAGCTGCGCTTCATGGCAAAAACATTTTTAACAAAGCGTATTATGTACATAAGTGCGACCTTTTTATACCCGTTACTCGTAGAGTAAAAGGGTATACTAGATTCGTCGGAAAGTATGTAACAGGCAGAAGGAAGCGTTTCCGACCCCACAAAGTATATATATTCTTGATCAGGATCACTAGCCGAGTCGATCTAGCCATGTCCGTCTGTCCGTCTGTCCGGATGAACGCTGAGATCTCGGAAACTATGGGAGATTCCTGAGCTTCTTACGCAGCGCAAGTTTGTTTCAGCACAGTGCCACGCCCACTCTAACGCCCACAAACCGCCCAAAACTGTGGCTCCTACAGTTTTGATGCTAGAATAAAAATTTTAACTGAAATGTATTGTTCTTACCAATACCTATCGATTGACCCAAAAAAAAGTTTGCCACGCCCACTTTAACGCCCACAAACCGCGAAAACCTGTGACGCCCACAATTTTCATGCTAGATAAAAAATGTTAACTGAAATGTATTGGTCTCGTCGATACCTATCGATTGATCCAAAAAAAAATTTGCCACGCCCACTCTAACGCCCATAACGCTTAAATCTGTATACCTCCGGTAGGTGGCGCATTTTAATCTCGCTTTGCTGCTTGCATATCTCCATATAGCTTAGTAACGGGTATCTGATAGTCGAGGTACTCGACTATAGCGTTCTTCCTTGTTTTTCTTTATGCATCTTGTATTTATAATTAAAAAGTTAAGAATCTAGATCAAATAAAACATCTAGTAATGCGTCGTCATCTCGATCATCCAGCAAAGTTAAATAATGGTTAGTCGGTGGCGGTTGAGGTCCCATAAGTTCTTCAAAGATGTGGTCGTCGTTAGAAAAAACCTCATCTTCTGGCCTGGATAGGTCGTCGTCCAATTGAAATTCCTGTGCACACTGAAATACATCTTCACCTTCTTCGTGTGTGATAAGGGATTCTAAAAAAGCCTGCGTAGTAGTCCCCAATGGAAACTGGCTCCACTCAAGAGACTCCAATCCTGGGTCCTATTTTCAGTCGACGATGCGCCGGTTGAAATACGCTTCAACGCGATCAACCGAATCTTCTGCTTCGGAAACCTGCACAAGGTCCAGATCCGAGTTTTCGATTATTTCAAGATCAGAATCTTGCGTGGGTTGTAATTCCAGGTTGTCAATCTCAACCTCGTTTTCCGAATCGACAAATTCTACGCTTAGATCCATAGGTATGCAGTACTGAGGCATTTGAAGAACTGATCCTCAGCAATTTGAGTGGTGTCATTTTTATACCCGTTACTCGTAGAGTAAAAGGGTATACTAGATTCGTCGGAAAGTATGTAACAGGCAGAAGGAAGCGTTTCCGGCCCCATAAAGTATATATATTCTTGATCAGGATCACTAGCCGAGTCGATCTAGCCATGTCCGTCTGTCCGTCTGTCCGTCTGTCCGTATGAACGCTGAGATCTCGGAAACTATGAGAGTTACAATACTGGGATTAGGCACGCAGATTCCTGAGATTCCTGCGCAGCGCAAGTTTGTTTCAGAAGAGTGCCACGCCTACTCTAACGCCCACAAACCGCCCAAAACTGTGGCTGCTAGAGTTTTGATGCTAGAATAAAAATTAAAAAAAACTGAATTGTGCTGTTCTTATCAATACCAATCGATTGACCTAAAAAAAAGTTTGCCACGCCCACTTTAAAGCCCACAAACCGCAAAAACCTGTGACGCCCACAATTTTCATTCTAGATACAAAATTTTAACTGAAATGTTTTGGTCTCGTCAATACCTATCGATTGATCCACGCCAACTCTAACGCCCATAACGCTTAAATCTTTCTACCGCCGGTAGGTGGCGCATTTTAATCTCGCTTTGGTGCTTGCATATCTCCATTTCCCTTTGGTCCCTTTAGCTGAGTAACGGGTATCCGATATTCGAGGTACTCGACTATAGCGTTCTTCCTTGTTTTAATGTCTAGATGTCGTAGGCTTGATTTTTAACTTTGACAGTTTGTTTGTAATAGCCTAAACCATAAGGTAACATTCTATAATATTTATATGTGAATTGCTTTATGCAAGCATAGCCATTGATCTTTAAAATTATAAAATACAAAAGCTGTTTCAATGTGAACACCAGAAAATTCCATTAGGTCTCCTGTACACTTAATATTAAAAGTGGAGACAAAAAATCGATTGCTCGGGGACCGAACACGGTCCTTTGCGGTTTAAAGACGAAAGCTCTACGGACTAGGCTGCTTCGAAATGATTTAACTAATGAAAATGGCTTCTTTTTATTTCTCTTAATCGATCATAACAAAAAAGTTGACAAATTAAGAGAATAGGCAGAAACATTTTTGAGCTTTAAAATAAAAACTTTTTGTTTTCGCAATAATTTATTTTGTACAGAAAACAACCATTTCAGATTGTGAGCTCATTTAACCATTAAAAGTCCACCCTTATGTACATATACTAAATCTAAATGTTTGCATTAGTTGTTCAATAAAATTAAGTGGTCGAACAGCATTGATTGACAGTGTTATATTTGCCACACAGTTCGGCTTTGTCATTCTCTGCTCTGACGTCATTGCTTTTCTTCTTGGTGGCTTGTGGCCGTTAGAACGTTAGAACAGGCTCTTTTAGGTCAATGTATAGGTATTGATGAAACCAATACAATCTATTAAAATTTTGATTTTAGTTTGGCACTCTGCCGAAAGTTCTGCTTTTAAAGCTTCCGAGATATCAGCGTTCATACGGATGGTTTTGGTGGGTTAGTGGGCGGGTCCATTTTATCAGCTGAATGGATAGGTAGGAAGGCTTCTAGCATCAAAACTGTGTGCTCCACAGATGGGATGGTTATCGTTGTTTGGTTGGTTTTATAGTTATACCCGTTACTCGTAGAGTAAAAGGGTATACTAGAATCGTCGGAAAGTATGTAACAGGCAGAAGGAAGCGTTTCTGACCCCATAAAGTATATATATTCTTGATCAGGATCACTAGCCGAGTCGATCTAGCCATGTCCGTCTGTCCGTCTGTCTGTCCGGATGAACGCGGAGATCTCGGAAACTATGGGAGCTAGGCTTCTTACGCAGCGCAAGTTTGTTTCAGTAGAGTGCCACGCCCACTCTAACGCCGACAAACCGTCCAAAACTGTGGCTCCTACAGTTTTGAGGCTAGAATAAAAATTTTAACTGAAATGTAATGTTCTCATCAATACCTATCGATTGACCCAAAAAAAGTTTGCCACGCCCACCCTAACGCCCATAAGCCGCCCACAAACTTCAAAAAATCGTAAATATGAACGTGGATATCTCGGAAACTATCAAAGATAGAGAATTGGGATTTCAGATTCAAAGTCCGTAGCCTTATACGCAGCGCAAGTTTGTTACGCGAATATGCCACGCCCACTCTAACGCCCACAAACCACAAAAACCTGTGACGCCCACAATTTTTATGCTAGATAAAAAAAATTTAACTGAAATGTATTGGTCTCGACAATACCTATCGATTGGTCAAAAAAAAAATTTTCCACGCCCTCTCTAGCGCCCATATCGCTTAAATCTGTATACCGCCGGTAGGTGGCGCATTTTAATCTCGCTTTGCTACTTGCATATCTCTATTTAGCTGAGTAACGGGTATCTGATAGTCGAGGTACTCGACTATAGCGTTCTTCCTTGTTTTAATTTTTTTTTTTCGTTTTGAATTTGTTTTGCTTTAATAGTGTTCTTGATGTTAATGAATTCAATCTTCAGTCCACCATGTAATCAACTTAATGTTTTTTTAAATGGATTGTTTTTTTATTAATAGTTTTCTATTTAAAATTTAACACGATCACAGTAACTTTATTTTGTGTCGTTGGTGGGTGTTATAATTTGTTCACAAATTTCAAACCTTGGCTGCGCGAATTCCGTTTTTAAATTAAATTTTATTTTTCATTAAATTGTTCTTTTTAAAACTTTTGATGACGCAATTTTATTCCTTGTCGTTGATTTCAAAAAAACATAACTTTTATTTCTTAAATTTTATTTACAATTCACAAATTCACTAATACAGGTATCA